CCAGGATGGCCTCGAACTCACAAAGATCTGCCTGCCTTTGCCTCCCAAATGCTGGGATTAAAGGTGTGCGCCACCATGCCTGGCCTCACTGAATCTTTTTAAAATACTTTAATTTTATGTGTACGAGTGTATTGACTGCATATATGTTAAGTATACCTGTGTAGTTCATTGCCCGCAGAGGTCAGAAGAGGGCATTGGATTCCCCTAGAACTGGAGTTATAGCCGGTTGTTAGCTGCCATATGAGTGCTGAGAATCTCAAACCCAGGTCCTCTGCAAGAGGAGCCAGTGCTCTTAACCACTGACCCGTCTCTCCAGCCCCTCTGAATCTTCTTTTTGGGGTGGGAGTGGGTAGATGAAGTCAGGGAGTCACCTTGGCCATCCAGCCTGGGCACACTTGACATCCCTCACCACCTCCTGCTGCAACCAGAGCCAGGACTGTCTGCTCTTCTTCCCTCCCTTTTCTTGCTTCCCCAGTTACTGGGCCCTGGACTGCCTGTTCCCTGGCTCACTGCCTAGGGGGAACAGAAAAGACTCCATTCACTTACTTTCCCCATCCCCCTAGCCGGTAGGCCCTGGTTAATATAGGGCTAAGAACAGAGCAGCTCAATTTCATTACTCCATGCCTCGAACTGGGGCACCCTGTGAGGTGGGCATCTGGCCCACCTTCCTCCACCTGCTGATTGTCTAGATGGCTCTTCACCAGGCCAGGCTTATTCCCAACACAACACGGTGCCCTGCATAGGGGTTGTGGCAAACAAACACAAGGCCATTACACGGCTCTAGGGTGCTCTTGGCAGGGCTAAAGATGTGGGAGGGGGAGTCTCTAAACACCCTTGGGGAATCCTGGAAGTCACTCCACCTCACTGCTCCACCTCTAAGGGCGTGGTCTTACAGCAGACCAGTCCTATGGAGAGGGCGGGACCAGAACAGGAGGCGCCTGTCCCGCCCCCTGGGAGTCAATAGCTCTGCAGCATCCACAGCCTCATTTACTCCAGCCAGGACTGAACTGCTGGCTGTTGCCCACCAGAGGAACCAAGCTGTGCCTGTGGCTGTAACTGGCTGCGTACAGGTAAGGTCCCAGGCAAGGCAGAGCTGTTCAGCATCCTTGCTTGTTCTCCTGCCATCCTTGCCTTGCTCCCTGCAGCCACTGTGTGTACTTTTACACTTTCCTGACATCCTCTCTCCTCTCTCTGTGTACTTGAAACCCTGTCGCTCAGCCTCTCCTTTACCCTCTCCTGACTGGAACTCAGCTTTTCCAATTCCAAATCTTACTCTGTCTCCAGGATTTTTTTTTTCTTTGGGGTCGGTCTCTCCAACCCAGGCCATTTTAATCTCAGTTCATTTCTGCTGCTCCTCAGCTAGCTCTCTGTGCCCAGGTCTGGGTTCCTATCCCTGACTAGTTACTCTGCATCACTGTCACCATCGTCTCCTCCAAGTCTCCCTCCTGCTTCTCTCCCTCTTTCTGAGGCTCCACCCCTTTCAACCTTAATCTCCTGTCCTTGGCTCCCCACCGGAAGCCAAGACTCCCTATTTCCCATGCCTTGTTGCAAATGGAAGGATGCTTCTGGGCACTGGAAATGACCTGGTAGTGTCCCTTCCCTGTTTTCACATGCAACCTAGCTGGTCTGTTGGTCCTCTTTCCTAACCACACTTTGCAGCCCTCCTGGGACCGACCTACAGCACAGGTGGGGAGTAGGCAGTAGGCAAGGGCAGTCAGGTTTGCAGTATGGAAGCCTGGGGCTGTTATCTGTGCCACTACTACTCTTTAACCTGCCCCCTGCCTACCACCTTTTCCTCTAGAAGTGGGGAAGGAAGGATGCTATATGTTTCATTACAAGCACTGAGAAAACTACTTTTCCTAGGGGCTCTGTTGAAGAAAGAAGGGAAACAGGAAACCAGGGCTATAAGGGGCCAAATTCAATGAAAAAAGAGTTGGCATTCTCAACTGGGCAACAGTTTCCAGGAAGACCTGTAGCTTCTGGGCTGCCACTTCCCCACCACCCAGCCTGCATCTCTCTTGGGGCTGGGAAGGGTGCCCACTAGGGACAAAAGGAGATGTGGGAACTAGGACTCTAACCCTACTAGCTGTTAGAGAGGTTGGTGCCACTTTGATGCCCAGGACCCATGCCAAGGACTGCTATTCGGTTTTCAGCCCTTAACTGAGGGGTGGGGTGGGGGGGCATTTGACCTGTTTGGCCAGGGGAGGAAGCAGAGGAATTAGTGGGTGAGGTCTAGCTTTACCTTGTCTCCATTCCAGAGAACTGTCAGCATGCCTCACTCGTACCCAGCCCTTTCTGCTGAGCAGAAGAAGGAGCTGTCTGATATTGCCCTCCGGATTGTGGCCCCAGGCAAAGGCATTCTGGCCGCAGATGAGTCTGTAGGTAAGTGGGAGCCTGTGGTCAGGGTTGGGCATGCAGAAGTAGCCAGGGAGTTCCTGCCAAGGAACAAGGTTGTCTTCACTTTGTTTGCTTGTAGGTAGCATGGCCAAGAGATTGAGCCAAATTGGAGTAGAGAACACGGAGGAGAATCGCCGGCTGTACCGCCAGATCCTATTCAGTGCTGATGACCGTGTGAAGAAGTGCATTGGTGGTGTCATCTTCTTCCATGAGACACTCTACCAGAAAGATGATAATGGAGTCCCCTTTGTCAGGACCATCCAGGATAAGGGCATAGTTGTGGGCATCAAGGTACAGCTCCTGACCCTGACTGGGGTCTGGGTGTAGAAATTGGTGTGTGTAGGAAAGGCGGCAAGGTGCATCCCGCCTGGGGTCAACCTGCTGCCTGTTTCCCCTGCAGGTTGACAAGGGTGTAGTGCCTCTAGCTGGGACTGATGGGGAAACCACCACTCAAGGTATGTATGTGGTAGGTGGGTTTTAGGACAATAGAGGTGGTTGCTGCTGGCAAGGTAGGGGCCTGATGATGAGGCTAGTGCTGTGATTGTAGGGCTGGATGGGCTCTCAGAACGCTGTGCCCAGTACAAGAAGGATGGTGCCGACTTTGCCAAATGGCGCTGTGTCATGAAAATCAGTGAGCGCACACCCTCAGCTCTGGCCATTCTGGAGAATGCCAATGTGCTGGCCCGCTATGCCAGCATCTGCCAGCAGGTTTGTGTTGGGGGTTGGGTGGTTGAACAGGTACCCTGAGCCTGGTGGAGAAGGAGTTTCATGGCTTTCCCCCATCTCCCTTTCTGCTTCTCCCAAGTAACTCTTCTCTTGCCTGCAGAATGGCATTGTGCCTATTGTGGAGCCTGAGATCCTGCCTGATGGAGACCATGACCTCAGACGTTGTCAGTATATTACAGAGAAGGTGAGGCCACAGCTCAGCCCAGACATATCAGGGACAGCCAAGCAAAGGTGCTTGCATCCCATTTACTTGGCTTAGATCCTGGTACCCTCTCTCCTTGGGCTCTTTTACTAACTCCAGGAAAGGCTTAGAGAATGAACCTGCACCAAACCCTCATAGCCCATTACCACCCACCCCTGGATAGGAAGCATAGTGTAGGATGTCACAGACCCTTCCTAAACTTCCTCTGATCCCCAGGTCCTGGCTGCTGTGTACAAAGCTCTGAGTGATCATCATGTATACCTGGAAGGGACTCTGCTGAAGCCCAACATGGTGACCCCTGGCCATGCCTGTCCCATCAAGTATAGCCCAGAGGAAATAGCCATGGCAACTATCACTGCCCTGCGTCGTACTGTGCCCCCAGCTGTCCCAGGTACTAATTCCTCCTACTCAGGTCTAATTTCAGGTTCTTCTATGGCTCAGGGATCCCTTACCCTAGAAAAAGAGTGTCTAGTCAGTTTGTCTTTTCTCTCTACTCTAGGGGTGACTTTCCTGTCTGGGGGTCAGAGTGAAGAGGAGGCATCACTCAATCTCAATGCCATCAACCGCTGCCCTCTTCCCCGGCCCTGGGCCCTCACCTTCTCCTATGGACGTGCCCTACAGGCATCTGCACTCAATGCCTGGCGAGGACAAAGGGATAATGCTGGGGTTGCCACCGAGGAGTTTGTCAAACGGGCTGAGGTAGGGCACTACAGGTGGTGATTGGGAGGAACTATGTATGTAGTTGGGCAGGGGAGCACCCAGAACTCCCAGCCTGGGCAGGGTTTGACCGCTGTGGGCTGGCTCAGCCTGCTCACCTGCCTCCCATTCCCTTTTGCAGGTGAATGGGCTTGCAGCCCAGGGCAAATATGAAGGCAGTGGAGAAGATGGTGGAGCAGCAGCACAATCCCTCTACATTGCCAACCATGCCTACTGAGGTGTGCTTACACCACAGGCCTTGGCTCAGCAAGCTGCACCCCATTTTGCCTGTAGTCATGGCCAGGGCTAAGTAGCCATGCAGAACAGAGATGTCTTTATCCAGCACCAAGTCATCTTTTTCTTTCCTCCCTATCTTTCTCCCATTGCTGTACCTGAGGCGAGAACAGGGAGCCACTCATGTTTGAGGGCAGGAGAATTTGCTAGAAGTCAGAGCAGGACATGTGGGTCTTCCCCATTGGCTCCTCGAATTCTCACAATTTTCCCCTGATGCCATAGCTTCTCCTTGAGCTCTCCTTCTTGCTGGACCTTCTCTCCTGGGAGCAGGGGGAAGTATTCTAGCTCTGACTCATGTCCTGAGTATATAGCAAATAAATAGTAGCAAATATGCTACTTTGTCTGTCTGTTATGTACATCAAATTCCCACTTCCTTGTATGTGATCTCTGCTGATTCTGTACCTGGGTCCTCTGATTGTGGAGATGGAGAGGTGAGATTTGAGTTTTACTGGGCTTCAAGTTTATGGAAGGGTTTACCTAGTCACCATCCCCAGCTCAGCCTCTTATCTGTTGATGTCCAAGGTGGGGGTAGAGTTGTAGGGAGGGCTACAAGTCTTCTAGGGACTGCCACATCAGAAGGAACTGGACTACAGCTACAGGAGGATGAAGTTTAGCACAATGAACAATTCTTCATGCAGATTTTGTGCAAGGCTCAAAGCATGGAGCAACAGGACAACTGGGGATCAGAGTGGGCAGGAGTCTCTCTCATTTCAGAGTTGTTGCCCCTAGCTGGGGCCTGACACATTCCTCTACAGGGACCCACAGAAGCAGCTGGGTCTCTTTCCAGTAAGGAAATCTGAAACGCTGGGCTTCTGAGTAGGGACTTTAGGAGATTGCTAAGGCTTTGGCCCACTTCCTTGCAGTCTAAGAGCAGAGGGAGAAGGGATCAACTTGAGGGTGTAGACAAAGGCTTCATCTGAACTTTAACAATAGGCTAGGGTGTGAGGTAGGCTGAAAACTGGTCTAAGAAGACAGAAAATGAATGACACTACACTGGGTGTATTCTGTGAACTGGACAAACCACTATGCTCTACTCTAACCTCTATGCTCTACTCTATGTAGTAGCCTGACTTTTTAATAAAAAATGTGAATGCACAGCAGTTTCTTCGGTTTCTATCAGACTGTGTTCTAATTACTATATATTACTGTATAGCCACAGTTCTGTAAACAGGCACACAGAGAGGGCATTCAGGTAATGAAACCAAGATTTGAACCCAAGCGATTAGGGTCCAGACTCTGTACTTAGGAATTTTTCAGGAATTTTATGTTAGGTATCCTCCTCTTCCTCCTCCTCCTTCTCCTCCTCCTCCCCCTCCCCCTCCTCCCTTTTTTTTTTTTTTTTTTTTGTCTTTTTGAGACAGGGTCTCCCTGTAGCCCCAGCTGACTTGGAACTTGCTATGTTGTAGAACAGGCTAGCCTTGAACACACAGAGATCCACTTGCCTCTGCCTCCTGAGTGCTGGGGTTAAAGGCTTGCGCCACCACGCCTGGCCAGAATCTTTTTTTTATTATTATTATTATTATTATTATTATTATTATTATTATTAAATCCTGGAAGCTAGGGCTGGAGAGATGCCTCAGCAGTTAAGAGCACTCGCTGCTCTTGCAGAAATGGGATTCAATTCCCAGCACCCACATGGCACCTAACAACCATCTGTAAGTCTGTAACTCCAGTTTCAAGGGATCTGACACCATCTTCTGACCTCTGAGGGCACTGCATGACCCGGGTGCACTTACAAACATGCAGGCAATACACTCTTACACATAAGAATAAAAATAATAAAATATTTAAGATTCTAGAAGCTGGGTGTGGTGACTTGTGCTTATAGTCTTGGCTACTTGGGAGGCTGAGGCAGTGGGGACAGGATCACTTAATCCCTAGAACTCAAGCCCAGTGTGGGCAACATAGGGAGATCCTGTCCCAAAACGAACTAAATTAAGTAAAATAAAATTACTACCAGAGCAATCAATTATGCTAAAAAGTTACTATGTTGACACCTGTTTTTAAGACCTGAAGAGAAGGTGCCTCAAGAGAAGAGAATGTCAAGGGGATAATGATCTTAATGGATATTTGAAGACTTTTCAGTAGTCAGGCTTTTGACATGCATGACTTCATTGAATAGCCTCCTTTTGCTGGGGTGCTGGCGCACGCCTGTAATCCCCAGCACTTGAAAGGCTGAGGCAGGAGGCTTGCAGAGAATTCGAGGGCCAGCCTGGGCTACACAGCGAGACACTCGCCCCACCTTCTGAGTTGGCGCTCTGGGGTTGGCAGTGTGGAGGCGTGGTCTTCCGGGAAGCCAGGCTTTGGTCCCGCGTCTCCCACTCGCGGTACCCGCACTTCAGACCCCGCGTGCGCACACCCGGGAAAAGCCGGTCTTTGGCCAACCAGCGTCTGGAGTGCAGCTCACGATTGGTCAAGATCGCCGCTGTGGTCCCGCCCCTTCATTGCGCGGCTTCCGATTGGAGGGGGTTCGCTAAGCCCCGCTCCTCTGCGGCCTGAGCAGCCGGAAGCTATCATGGCGGCAGTCGGGGCCGCGGCTACTCACCTAGGTAGGGTGACTTTCGGGGATGGGAAGTGGCGGCTGGGAGACCGCGAGGGCGGAATGCGGGGTGGGGCGTGGGAACCTGTCTGGTTCCGCCTGCCAGGGGTCGGGCGCGGCACCCCCTAGGCCTTCCGTCTCGGCGCCTCAGTCGGCCCCTGTGCCCTCAGATGTGGTCCGGGGCAAGCGCGCCGCTCTCTTTTTCGCCGCTGTGGCTATCCTGCTGGGACTGCCGCTCTGGTGGAAGACCACAGAGACGTACCGGGCTCCGTTGCCGTATTCCCAGATCAGTGCGCTGAATGCCCTGCAGGTGAGCCGCGAGTGGGGTGAGCCGCGAGTGGGGTGAGCCGGGCACAGCCCACCTGCAAAGAGCGGACTGTGCTGAAGGCCGGGATGCTTACTCCCCCAGCTCCGGCTCATGGTGCCAGTCACTGTAGTGTTTACTCGGGACTCTATACCGCTGGACGATCAGGAGAAGCTGCCTTTCACCGTTGTGCATGAGCGAGAGATCCCGCTGAAATGTGAGTTCCCGCGGGAGAGGGTGTCAGGTTGTGTTTCCTTTCTGAGCCAGACCCGAAACCGGAGTTGGATTGCATGGGGGGAGCCTGGACGTACCATAACTTACTGTTATTTATTTATTTATTTAGTATTACATTTACTTATTGTATGTATGCACGTGTAAAGATCAGAGGTCAATTTCCTCCTTCCATCATGTGGGTCCTAGAGATCGAACTCAGGTTATCAGGCTTAGCTGCAAGTACCTTTACTCACTGAACTCCACCCCCCTTACTTTTAAAAGATTTTTCTGAATGAACAGTTTATTTATTTGGGGGGAGGGATAGCTTATAGTTCAGTCAGTCTCTGTCATTATGATGGTCATTTTAAAATATTATTTTTATTTTATGAGTGTATTGCCTGCATGTATGTAAGTACACCTCTGTTGTGTAATGTCCATGGGAGTCAAAAGGGCATCAGAGCTGCTGGATTTGGAGTTACAGACTGTTGTTAACCACCATGTGGGTGCTGGGAATCGAACCCAGATTTTCTGTAAGAGTCGCCAGTGCTCTTAACCTCTGAGCCATCTCTCCAGCTCCATGATGGTCATTTTAATTCAGGTAATTCATGCAACTGGTCAGAAGCAGTTGATACCCATCTGTATATAATGGAGGGAGCAGCATGGACTGCAAAGGAAACCAGAGTTTGAAATTACACTGGATGTGTACAAGGTCCCAGTCAGTTTACCACCGAACATGTCATTGTTAGACACTTTTTTAGGTACCAGGAATTTGGGGATGAATAATAAATTGGTAATGTTTTCAAGTTTATAGTCACATCAGTGAAAAAGAAACATAGGCAAATTACTGTAATGCAGGAGGTTTAGTTCAGTGGTAAGGCACACGAGCCTGGATTCCATCCCTACCTGTCTAGGAAGAAAGAAAGGTGGACAAGGTTTTGAGGGATGTATTTTTTTTTAAAAAAATGTATTGCTGGGCATGGTGATACACACATTTAATACCAGCAGGTCTCTGTGAATTTACAGCCAGTCTGATTTACTTAGTGAATTCCAGGCCAGCCAGAGGTCAGGGTGGAACTTAGGTCATCAGGCTTGGAGACAAGCCTTTTACCTTCTAAGTTGCCTCTGCCAGCCCCTGAGGGATGTAATTTAAAAAATTTATTTTTATTTTTATTTTTATTTTTTGCATATGAGTGTTTTGCCTGCATTGTATGTAAGTGCACGTATGTGTGCAAATGCCTGTGGAAGCAAGAAGAGGGCATCAGACCACCTTGAACTGGAATTACAGATGGTTTTTGGCTGCCACTTGGGTGCTGAGCAAAAGCTAGTGCTCTTAACCACCAAGCCATCTCTCCAGACCTGAGTTATAATTTTGAAGTAAGGTTGAAGTTTTAGGAATAGGATATATAGGAATTCAGGTTAATTGGGAGGTGGGGAGAGAATTCCAGGCAGAAAGCATGAACAAGACAGGAGAATAGCTAATATCAGCTGGTCCTCGCTCTCTGCCAGAAACTAGGTGAACCACTTCACACTTGCCTCAGTTAATACCAACTTTACAAATCTCATTTTACAAATGACACTAAGATTTATAGAGTTTATCTTGCTGCAAATCACAAAGCTCAGAAGAGGTGGTTTGGAATTAGATCCAGTCCTGATTGATTTCAGTATTCAAGCTTGTAGCTAACACTGTACACTTTCTGTCTGAGTCACAGAGGGGTGAATGACCACCCTGTAGAATCTATGACCTGTTTTTGCCATGTTGAAGTAAAACAAGAAGGGGCTGGTGGTACAGGCTGAGTCTAGACCTTGAAGTACTTGTATATATTTACTTTCTAGCCCTTTACCCTTAATCGTGAAGTTTAAAAAAAGTGTATGTGCACACACATTTTGATTGTTTAAACAAACATTTGCTCATATCTCACGTTTGTCTCAAAAAATTTTTTTTTCCTTAAACCAAACTACCTGTGCATGGTAACATAGACCTGAAATCCCAGCATTTGGGAGACTTGAGGCAGCAGGATCCAGGCAAGCCAGTCTTGGCTACATTACATAGTTAAGACCCTGACTCAAAAAAATTGTCTCTCATTTTAGGTAACCCCATCTTCTTTTCATATCAGTGATGATGTGACAAGGTCATTTGTTTAATGGAATTTTCAAGATTTGGCAAGTCACTTCATAGTTTCATTTAACTTATTCCTTTAATGACCTTGGACTTCTGATCCTCCTGTCTTTACCTCTCAAGGGCTGAGATTACTAGTATGTGCCACCACACCTGGCTGATATAGTGCTGGGACCTGAACCCAGGTCTTAGTGTATGCTAGGCCAACTACATTCCCAACCTGTTTGATATTGTTGTTGTTGCTGGTGGTTTCTATTTTTCTTTAAAGATTTTATTTGTTTTTTAAAATATTTAATTTAATTTAATTTATTTATTTTTTGTCTCTTTGAGACAGGGTCTCCTTGTAGCCCCAGCTGTCCTGGAACTCACTATGTAGACCAGGCTGGCCTTGAACTCACAAAGAGTCCTGGAATTCACTATGTAGACCAGGCTGGCCTCTGCCTCCCAAGTGCTGGGTTTAAAGGTGTACGCCACCATGTCTGGCATATTTTTATTATTTTTATGAGTATGAGTATGAGTGTTTTGCCTGCATGTGTGTTAGTGTACTAGTCATGCAGTGCCCTCGGAGGTTAGAAGAGGGCATTGAATTCCCCTGGAACTGGAGTTACAGAGGGTTGTTAAATGCCATGTGGGTGCTGGGAATTGAACCTGGGTCCTCTGCAAGAGCAGCTAGTACTCTTAACTGCTGAGCCATCTCTCCAGCCCCAAAGATATTTATTTATTTATTTGTTTGTTTGTTTGTTTATTTATTGTCTTTTTGAGACAGGGTCTCCCTGTAGTCCCAGATGGCTTGGAACTCACTATGTAGACCAGGCTGGCCTCGAACTCATAGAAATCCACCTACCTCTGCCTCCTAAGTGCTGGGATTAAAGGTGTGCACTACTACATCCAGCTAATTTTATTTATTTTTATTTTATGTGTATGAATGTTTGTCTGCATGTGTGTAAGTGCACCATGTATATGCTTAGTGCCCTTGGTAGCCAGAAGGGAACTGGAGGTAAGGACAGGTGTTGGCCTGCCATATGGGAACTGAACCCTAGTCCGTGGAAGAGCAATGCTTTTTTTTTGAGATAGTCTCACTATGTAGACCATGCTGGCCTCATCAAGATCCTCCTGCCTCTGCCTCTAGAATGCTGGGATTAGAGGTATGCACCATTATGCCCAGATGTTTATTGGGGGGAGAGGGTTGGTTTTTTATGGGGTCTCCATAACCCCAACTAGCCTGGAGCTCATTATGTGTGACCTAAATTGGCCTCAAACTGTTGATAATTCTCCTGCCTCATCCTCCTGAGTGCTGGGGTTATAGATGTGAACCACCATACTTGGCTCTATTGTCCCTATTTTTGTTAACTAGTAATTAGATCTAGGGTTTGTTTAAAGCCAGGGTCAATTTTTAAAAAAATATTATTTTGAGCTGGGTGTAGTGACTGATGCCTTTAATTCCAGCACTTGGGAGTCAGAAGCAGGTGGATCTCTGTGAGTTCAAGGCCATCCTCGTCTGTGTATGAGGGTATTTCATGTGTATGAGTGTTTTGCCTGCGTGTATCTTAAGTGCACCATGTGTGTAGTGCCCATGGAGACCAGAAGAGGACATTGGATCCCCTGAAACTGGAGTTAAGGAAGGTTGTTAGCTCTCACATGGGTGCTGGGAACTGAACCTGGGTCCTCTGCAAAAGCAGTTAGTGCTCTTAACTGCTGAGCATCTCTCCAGTCCCATGTTCAATTTTAAAAAGAGATTTATTTTTCTTTATGTGTTTGTGTGCGTCTCTGAGTATATGCCACGTGTGCAGGTGCCTGTGGAGGACAAAGTGGGTGTCATAGCCCCTGGAGCTAGAGTTACAGGCTGTTGTGAGCCACCCAATGTGGGTGTTTAGAACTGAACACAGGTCTCCTGAAAGAATAGCACGTGTTCTTAACCATTGAGCTATCTCTTCAGCCTTAGTTTGTTTTGTTCTTTCTCCCTGTAGCCCCAGCTGACCTCAAACTCCCTATGTAGAGCAGGTTGGCCTTGATCTCACAGAGATCCGCCTGCCCCTGCCTCCCAAGTTCTGGGACTAAAGGAGTGCGCTACCACACCTGGTTGACTTGGTTTTAGCATCCAATTGGTGCTGTGTCTTGCTTCTTTAGCAGTTACCAAATGGTGATTTTTTTTTAAGTTTCACTATTTCTTCTGCATGTGACCTGGAATTCTATAAAAGGAACTTAAAAATTTCAAGTTAAGCTTGTCAACTTTCATAGGAAAAAGAAATCCCTTTGGGACTTAATAGCTTTCCTACCATCTTGTTCTTCCCTTCCCACTGGACTCTAATCTTTACCACATGATCTTGTCTTCAAATTTGGTTTTTCATCATCAAGTGCTTTCTTTTATACTAGAATATAATCTTCAATTCTAGAATTGAAATAAAAATTTGAGTCATGAAGCACCTTTTGTAAGTCCACCTACTTCCCTTCTTGGAGCAGTTGTTACAGCCCAAACCTTCACCAGTGCTCCTGCAGCCACCCTTTGCTTCTAAGCAGAGGCCTCTGACTTAGTACTGTCTTTGCTTTTTTTCACTCTTTAAATTATCTTAGCACATCATAGATCTCTAGGCTTCACTCAAATAACCCTGTTCACACTGCTAGACTGATGCTTTTGCCAAAATCATTTGTAATTTTATTTCTTCCTTCTGGTTTAGTTAATTTTTCTTTTTCTTTTTGGTTTTTTTGAGATAGGGGCTTACTATATGTAGCCCTGGCTGGCTTGGAACTCCCTATGTAGGCCAGGCTGGCCTCAAACTCACAAAGATATATATGTGTATCCTTGCTTGCTTGCCATGTGTGCAGTGTGTGCAGGTGACAGTGGAAGGGGGCATTAGATAGATCACTTGGAACTGGAGTAACGGGCCGTTGTGAGCTGCCTGATGTGGGTGCTGGGAACCTAACCCAGGTCCTCTGCAAGAGCAGCAAATCCTCTTAACCACGGATCCATCTCTTCAGCCCAAGTTCACTATTTCTTTCTTTCTTTGCTTGTTTTTTGAGACAGTGTCTCCTGTGTAGCCAAATTTTGGCTAGATTGGCTGACAGCAAGTCCCTAGGAGCCACCTATCTCCACTTTACAGCACTAGGGTTATAGACGCTCACCACCACCACTCCTGGCTTTTATGTGGGAACTGGGGTTCCGAACTCAGGTCCTTATGCTTATGCAGCAAGGTCATTACCTTCTGAACCATGAACCACCTCCTCAACCCTCCCGAAGTTTTTTTTTTTTTTGTCTTTTTGAGACAGGGTCGCTTTGTAGCCCCAGCTGGCCTGGAACTCATTATGTAGACCAGGCTGGACTTGAAGCCATAGAAATCTACCTGCCTCTGCCTCCCAAGTTCTGGGATTAAAGGTGTATACCACCACGCCCTGTTCCCTCTTCAGTTTTTTAAGTTTCATTTTTCTTTCTTCACTTACTACATTGGTCAGAAACTTCACAAAGAATAATCACTAACTTATGGAAATGTGCTTAATGTTTGCTTTGGTTTTTATTAGGAGTGTTTACTGAATTTAATTATTTGAGGACAGCAGTTGGAATAACTATATGGCTTTTCTGCTCTTTATCTATCAGTTATCAATATGATGTATATTGAACTCTCCAACAGGGAAATTGCCTGCTGGAGGACTGTGCACACAGCAGAGGCAGGAGCCAGGGCAGAAGGGAGAAGTGGATGTCTTTTGTTTGTTGTCATCCATGTAGAAATGATTAGTGTGACTGTTCCTGCTTGGCACATGCTCTTTATTTGTAAACAAGCACCTTGTCCTTAGTACTGGGCCATGCTCAGCTGGGATGGTAGGTGAAGTCTAATGCCCTTCACATGCTCTTTCCTTCTAGACAAAATGAAAATCAAGTGCCGATTCCAGAAGGCCTACAGAAGGGCCTTGGACCACGAGGAAGAGGCCCTATCATCGGGCAGTGTGCATGGTATGAAAAGGGATGTCAGTTGGGCGTGGTGCCACATGCCTTTAATCCTAGCACTTGGGAGGCAGAGGCAGGCGGATCTCTGTGAGTTCGAGGCCAGCCTGGTCTGTATAGCGAGTTCTAGGTCAGCTGGGGCTACGGGGATGTCACAGAAAAGGGATGTCACACCATTTTTATGAGACTCCCTCTTTTCCGTCTGGTCTCTAAGTGTGACTTACATGCTATGTCTTAACTTCCAAAGCTTTTCTGAGAAAGCTGAGAATGAGGTTCTTGGGGTTCCAGTCAAGCACTCCCTGGGGACCTGGGGGAGGTGGAATGATGTTGCTTTTGGTGTGTCCTCTGTTCTTGTTCCCAGAGGCAGAAGCCATGTTGGCTGAGCTGAAGGAGCAAGCAGAGGGCTCCCTGACTGTGTACGTGATCTCTGAATACTCCTCACTTCTTCCTCAGGTAGGGTAAACAGAGCCTCTGAAGACTGCTTCTTTCCCTGTTAGCTTGTCCTCCTACACCACATTTTAAAATAAAAATGCCAAGCCGGATGTGGTGGCCCACACCCTTAATCTCAGCACTCAGGAGGCAGAGGCAGGAGGATCTCTGTGAGTTTGAGGCCAGCCTGGTCTCCATAGCGAATCCAGGCCATCTGCGGCTATAGGGAAACCCTGTCTCAAAAAGACCAAAAAAAATAAATAAAAAATGCCAGTAGAATTTATTCAGTTATATAGACTTTGGGTCTTTCTAAATCCGAGACTTACATGTGGTTAAAATTCTTTCTTTCCTTTCTCTCTCTCTTTCTTTCTTTTTGAGGTAGGGTCTTATGTAGCCCAGGCTGGCCTCATTATATACCCAAGAATGGTCTTGAACTTCTGATTCTCCTGCCTTCACCTACCAAGTGCAGGGATTACAGGCATGTGCCAGCATGCCTTGTTTGTGCAGTGCTGGGACTAGAACCCGGGGCTTCCTGCATGTTTGTCAAACTCTCTACCAACTGAGCAACATTCCTGGCCCAATTTTACATTTTATTTTTTGGGTCTTTTGGAAACAGGGTCTCTCTGTAGCCCCAGCTGGCCTGGAACTCACTATGTAGACCAGGTCGGCCTTAAACTCACAGAGATCCTCCTGCCTCTGCCTCCCGAGTGCTGGGATTAAAGGCATGCGCCACCACTCCTGGCCTAATTTTGCATATTTTTAAGTGTATATAAAGATATATCATGCATGTTCTTCTGCCACTTTTGTGATCACATTTGTGGTGATGTTTGTACTTGAATCTATGTTTCATTGTACAAACATAAAAATAATCTGTCCTTTCTGTGACTGGTGAACATCTTGATTATTTCCAACTTTTCATCTATAGATGCAGTGCGACCTTGTATTTGCCTCTTTACTATGTGCCATTTTTATAGATTGAACTTTCCATTTGTTAATTTTGCTTTTCTTGTTCAGCATGCCATCTCTTGATTTCTAGTTCACTGGTTTTTTTTTTCTTTTTTTTTTTTGGTCTTTTTGAGACAGGGTCTCCCTGTAGCCCCAGCTGTCCTGGAACTCACTATATAGACCAGGCTGGCCTTGAACTCACTGAGATCTGCCTGCCTCTGCCTCTCAAGTGCTGGGATCAAAGGTGTGTGCCACCACGCCCGGCATTCTAGTTCACTGTTTTATATGAAGATTTACATGTTGCCTGAACCTGGGAAAGAGAAAGGAATGGAGATATATGAGAATTCTCCTATAAGCTTAAAGATCAGGAATGCCAAGTTATATAAAGCTCACTATGAAAACCTGGGATGATGGCACATGCCTATATCTTGGGAGGTTAGGTAGGAGGATCGGAAGTTTAAGTTCATCCTCAGCTACATAGTTCGGGGCTGACCTGGGCTACATGAGACCTTGTCTCTAAAAACTAGCAAAATGGAAAAATAATAGCTCACCAAAAGTCTAGAGAGAGGTGCAACCTTTTGGCTAGTGACAAAGGCCAAATTCTTTAAGACAGCAGCCAGAGCTAGCATAATGGTGAGTGCTTGTAATCTCATCACTTGGAAGGCAGAGGCAGGAGAATCTCAAATTCCCAGGCTGGCCTGGGTTATATAATCAGACCCTGTCTCAAAGAAGGGGAGAGAGAGAGAGAGAGAGAGGGAGAGGGAGGGAGAGGGAGAGGGAGAAGGAAGAGAGAGAGAGGAGAGAGGAGAGACAGAAGGAGTCAGAGTGCTTTTCTGTGTTCTTCACTTAGCCATGGTGTTCTGTCCCTCCCTCACTCTGTACAGGACATGATGAGCTACATTGGGCCTGAGAGGACAGCAGTTGTGCGGGGGATAATGCACCGGGAGGCCTTTAACATCATCGGCCGTCGCATAATCCAAATAGCCCAAGCCATGTCTTTGACAGAGGATGTGCTCGCTGCTGCTCTGGCTGACCACCTCCCCGAGGACAAGTGGAGCTCTGATAAGAGGAGGCCTCTCAAGTCCAGCTTGGGTAGGGCTCGGCTGTGCCATAGGAAGGGAGAAGAAATCAATCAGGTGGAGCAGCAGGGGAATCTGCATGCAAACTGCTTGTTCCTTTCTTCTGGTCTCCATTTTTTCTTTCTTTTTTGGGTCTCCCTGTAGCCACAATTGGTCTGGATTTGCTATGGAGACCAGGCTGGCCCTTGAACTCATACAGATCTTCCTGCCTCTGCCTCTGCTGGAACTAAAGGTGTGCATCACCACACCTGGCTGCCATTTTTTCTTAAAGCACTCAGTAGTGTTCCTTACCTCACTTCCATCCTCACTTTGTTTCGTTCCTGGATGCCCAAACCCCTCCAGAGGGGAAAAAGGTTCATTTTAACAGGGGTACAGGCTGTCCCTTCTCCCTTGATTCAGCAACCTCTGAATTTCCCGACTTCTGTTTCTACAGGCTATGAGATCACCTTCAGTTTACTCAATCCAGACCCCAAGTCCCATGATGTCCATTGGGACATTGAGGGGGCTGTCCAGCACTATGTGTGGCCCTTCCTGAATGCCCTCAGTGCTGCTGGCAACTTCTCTGTGGACTCCCAGGTAAGATCAGGAGCCAGATAAGGAGTCCTTTTCAGAGTCTATAAATATTTAGTGTTTACATGGGCATCTGTTCTTCCAGCTCTTAAAGTTTGATGATTTGCTGACATAGATAGGTAGGTACAAGGCCCTGTCAAAAGAGCATGTATGGGCAAGTAGTTTGGAGGAACACATATGTGTACATCTGTTTTTCTCCATCAGGCCATTGATCCCTTGAGGGCAGATTCTGGTGTCTGTCTTCCTTGGAATTCAGTTCAGGAAGTTTCATGGTCAGGGAGTTTCACTGGAGTGTATTTAACTTTTTTTAAATTGATTTAAATTTTTTTTATGTGTATGAGTATTTTACCTGCCTATATGTAAGTGTACCTACATCATGCAATGCCCATGTAGGCCAAAAGAGGACATTGGATCCCCTGGAACTGGAGTTACAGAGAGTTGTTAGCTGCCATGTGGGTGCTGGGAACTAAACCTGGGTCCTCTGCAAGAGCAGCCTGTGTTCTTAACTTCTGAGCCATCTCTCCAGGCCCCCATTGAAGTGTCTCAACAAAGCAACTTTATGGTTCCCTCTAGAACTTTTCAGAACTTGTGCCTAGTTGTTAGAGCCATCAGCCACCTTTAAGGAATTTTTTTTTTTTTTTTTTGGAGCTTCCTGAAATATGTGAACACAGCAGTAACGATGTGAAGAGTGCCTCTAGCTCTCTGTATCACATCATGTCCTTGTAGGGAAAATGTGGGAGACTGTTTATCAGGTCCTGTTAGTAGGGGTCATTGCCTCTGAATAACAGGCATCATTTGACCTTGTGGACTCTGAATTATGATTTTTCTTTGTTTCCTTTTTTGTTCAGGCTGTTAGGAAACCTGATAGAATATGTAGTTTTGAAGCATGTTTTTAGTATACTAACTTTACCTTTGATTTTATTATTTTCTTTCCTACACCTGTTTTCTCTGACCTCTGATTTTTGCCTGTCCTGATTGTCTGTTTTTCAAGACATTTCAAATCTTTTCTTGGAGAAAGCAAACTAAATCAGTGTACAAAACAGCCCTGTCCCCTCTTTGCTCCACAGATCCTTTATTATGCAATGTTGGGAGTGAACCCCCGCTTTGACCCAACCTCATTCAGCTACTATTTGCCCATGCACAGCCTCCCCCATGTCATCAACCCAGTGGAGTCGAGACTGGGTGAGTTCCTGAGGAATCTCTACCTGGCCAAGGAGGGACCCTGAAGGCACAGCTTGGGGTTAGAGTCGGGTTTTGTATTTTTGATGGTTTCTGGGTTGAGTTGGTCTTTTGAGACTGGGAAGATTTAGCTTTCTCTGTTTCTCTGTGTCTGTCTCTGTCTGTCTGTCTGTCTGTCTGTCTCTCTGCCTTCTGCCTCTCTCTCTCTCTCTTTCTCTCTGTCTCTCTCTCCTCTCTTACCCTCTCTCACCTTTGGTTGTTTGAGACAGGGTCTTACATATTCCAAGCTGGCTTCAAGGTCACTATGTAGCCAAGGATATCCTTGAACTCCTGATCCTCATACCTCTGTGTCCCAAATGCTAGGATTTATACATATACCCTACCACACACAGCTAAAAACCATTAATTTCTTTTTCTTTTTTTTGAGTATTTTTAAAGCAGGGTCTCCCTGTAGTCCCAGCTCCTAGCTGGCCTGGAACTCACTATGTAGACCAGGGTAGCCTTGATCTCACAGAGATCCGCCTGCCTCTGCCTCCTGAGTGGCGGGATTGAAGGCGTGTGCTTCTATGCCCAGCCTTGAAAGCAGATCTGATTTTTTTGAACATTTCTTTATTGTGTGTGTGTTGTCTGTGTGTGATGCTTGCCTGTAGGAGTCAGAGGACAACTTGCAAGAGTCTGTTCTTTTCTTCTGCCATATGAATCCCAGGGATGGAACTGAGGTCATCAGGCTTGGCAGCAAGCATCTTTATCCGCTGAGCCTTTTTGCCTGCCTGAAGGCAGAATTTGAATGAACACTGTACTCATTGAAGTATTGGAACCTTGAGGGTAGGATTATAGTCTTCCTTTCGGGGAAGAGCTCAGGGAGAGTAGGTGTGGTCAAGAACTGTAATATGGGCAGACCAAAGTTAAATGTACTGCTGCCTGTGGTCCCAGGACCACAGGAGGCCTGGTGGTACATGTGGACTCAGCAAATTCCTCCTTCCTTCATTTTTTTCATTCACTCAGTGAACATTGGCTGAAGGTAGCACTGTAAGGACAAAGACAAAAGGTTAAGATGGAAGATTAAGAGCATAGCAACTGAAGGAGCTTGGAATAGTTTAGTATGGCTAACATGGGAGTCGGGGATCAAAGATGAGGCTGGTTAGGCAGGCCCCATATCATAAAAGACCATGTTAAGGAGTTTGAACTTTACGCTGGTATGAAGGTTTGTAGGATAGCAGTGAGCTGACAGGAGGTCAGATTTTACTTGTGCATAAAACTAATTACAGAAATGGAGTTCTTTTTGTCAGTAGCCAAGAGAGCTGTCCTGGACAGTGGAAGGCGGCCTCTTTGAGGGAAGGAATTCCAGGAGAATTTTGTGGTGGTACATCTCTGGAGAAATTGAAAAGACTAGAGGATATTTTATAGTGATGATCATTTGAGGAAACAGAGTCTCAGAGTGAATGAGCAGTAAGGTTGCTCCTGGAACAAAGGAGCAAGAAATACCACATTTTGGTGTCTAACTCCCTTCTGTTTGTACCACAGGATCCAGTGCTGCCTCCCTATACCCTGTGCTCAACTTTCTACTCTATGTGCCTGAGCTCGCCCACTCCCCCCTGTACATTCAGGACATGGATGGAGCTCCAGTGGCCACTAACGCCTTCCATAGTCCCCGCTGGGGTGGCATTATGGTAATAGTTACACTATGCAGTCCCAGAGCCCCTTCTTCAGGGACAGGCAGATAATTTTCCTAAAACTTCTTCTGCTTTTCTCTGGGGGAGAGAGAGTCCTTTGTGGTCCTTCTTGTGGGGAGGGGGGAGGGTGGCATGAGGGAAGTGACAGGACTGTGCTGTGTCATTGCTCTGCCAGCCCTGCCATTCCTTTTGTCAATGTTTTCTGTACTGTGACCTTTTTGTACTTACAATTTGTACTTGGGACTAGTCTGTATCAATCTTAGCTCTTGGCTATCTGTGGGAGTCTTGCAAGGGTAGGGAAATCTTGTCATTTTAGAGTGGGAGCTGTTTATGGGTAGAAATGCTAAAACAGGATAATTTTTAAAAATTTTGCAGGACTTTTTAAAATTTTTTAATTTTTTTACTTTTTTTATAGCTCTTAGAACTCATAGAGATCCTCCTGCTTCTGCCTTCAGAGTGCTAAGATTAAAGGCATGTGCCGCCAAGCTTGGCTTTCTTGAACTTTTGAGTGGGTAAATAGGATAATTTACTTTAAAGCTCTTTATCATGGGTACTCAAAAAAAAAAAATTTATGCCAGATGTAGTGGCACATGGGTTTAATCTCAGCACTTGGGAGGTAGATACAGGTGAATCTCTGTAAGTTCAAGGCCAGCCTGGTTTACATAGTGAGTTCCAGGCCAGTCAGGGCTACATAGTGAGACCTTGTCTCCAAAAAACAACAGGGGCTGGAGAGATGGCACAGCATTTAAAAGCACTGGCTGCTCTTGTAGAGGACCTGGGTCCAGTTCCCAGCACCCACATGGCAGCTAACAACTGTCCATAGCTCCAGTTCCAGGGTAATACTGTGTCCTCTTCTGACCACCACAGGCATTGCAGGACATGGGTGCACTTACATATACATGCAGGCAATACACTCATACACATAAAATAAAAATAATAAAATATTTTAAAAATAAAAATAAAAAACAATAACAAGTTTACTATATTGCTATGTTTGTAGCTTGTGAACCCCAGAGGCCATGTCTTCCTTTTCTCTTGTGGTCTCTGGATGCTGAGCAGAGCTGTGCATGGTCCCATGTGGTATTGACTGGGGCAACCTGATTCCCCCCTTCTAGGTTTACAACATTGATCCCAAAGCCTATAATGCCTCGGAGCTGCCAGTGAGAGTCGAGGTGGACATGGTGCAAGTGATGGAGGTGTTCCTGGCTCAGCTGAGGTGAGGCCCTGTGTGATTCCTTTGGCCATGGCCACAGCCACAGACAGTGTGGCCACAGCCTTTTGGCTTTGACAGAAGTAGCAGAGCAGAATAAACTCTCACCCAGTGGGGATACCATGGCTGTTCCTTGAGTCCTAAGGAAACCAAGAAAGTTTTCCAAGAATCATGTCATCCTTCTCCAAAGAAGGGTAAGAAGCTGACAAAACCTTTTCCAGAAAAATGGACTTAGGGAAGTCAGCTATCTCAGGGCACGCTTAGGGGTGCTTAAGAAAAAACAGCTTTTTTGCTTCTTATTTTAAAGAAAATAGCTGTTGGGCTGGAGAGATGGCTTGGTGGTTAAGAACACTGGTTGTTCTTGCAGAAGACCCGGGTTTGAATCCCAGCACCCACATGGCAGCCAACAACTGTCCATAACTCCAGTTCCAGGGGATCCAATGGCTTCCTCTTTCCTCTGCGGGCATTGCATGACATGGGTGCAGTTACCTACATCCAGGCAATACACTCATACACATAAAAAAAATAAAATATTAAAAAAACAAAAACAAAACGAAAATAGCTGTTGATTCTTGATGGATTGAGAGTGGCCACCTGAGGTTCTACTTTGACGACTCCCTGGCTGTTTTCAGACTTGTTAGGAGAGCATTCTGATAAGTAGCAGTGTCTCAGAGACATAGCCTGTGACAAGCACAGCACACATGCCTTGTCAGAGGTGGTCCTGCCGTTGCTACCTGTCCCAAAGAAGGGGTGGAGAGGGGAATAAACTAAGATGGTGTTACCAGAGGTACTTCAGCTGTGGAGCCATTTCAGACAAGATCTTGGAAGTCCATCCAGTATAGAAATATGTAAAAGTGGAAATGCTTAGTTGAAGCAGGGTTTGGGGATCTGAATTACTTGATGTGTGTGGCTGCTCATCCACCCCCATGGTTCTCAGTAAGACTGAAAATCATTGGCTTCAGGCAGATATTATGGGGATCTTAACATTGGCTCCCTTGTTAACAGTTTTGATCTTCCTGTGTCATTCCCACAGGCTGCTCTTTGGGATTGCTCAGCCCCAGGTGCCTCCAAAATGCCTGCTTTCAGGGCCGAAGAATGAGGGACTTATGACCTGGGAGCTAGATCAACTGCTCTGGGCTCGGTCAGTGGAAAACCTGGCCACAGCCACCACCACCCTCACTTCCTTGGCACAGCTTCTGGGCAAGATCAGCAACATTGTCATTAAGGATGATGTGGCATCTGAGGTAAATGGGCAAGGGAGGGATGAGCCAGTGAGGGCCAGGATCCTTAAATGCCTCAGGCTTCCTCTAGAGGCCCTGCTAGCTCCCCAGTGGGAGAATAGGTGGGAGCAAATAAAGGTTGCATGCTGACCTTCAGAAAATAAACAGCTTTTGAGACAGGGTTTCCTTGTAGCCCCAGCTGGCCTGGAACTCACTGTATAGACCAGGCTGGCCTTGAACTCACAGAGATCCACCTGCCTCTGCTTCCCAAGTGCTGGGACTAAAGGCATGGGCCACCTCTCCCGGTAAATAACAGCTCTTTTAGACAAACTTCTGTATAGTCTGGGTGGACTCCAGCAAACTTCCCTGGGAGATAGAAAATACAGAAAGGCCCAGCACCTTCCCTTCACCCCATGCCTAGGACATAATGGTAACCCTCATTCCTTCCCCTTCCTAGGTATATAGGGCCGTGGCTGCAGTCCAGAAGGCGGCAGAGGAGTTAGCCTCTGGGCACCTGTCATCTGCCTTTGTTGCCAGCCAGGAAGCTGTGACGTCCTCTGAGCGTGCCTTTTTTGATCCCTCACTCCTCCATCTCCTGTATTTCCCTGATGACCAGAAATTTGCCATTTATATCCCACTGTTCCTGCCTATGGCTGTGCCCATCCTCCTGTCACTGGTCAAGATTTTCCTGGAGATGCACAAGTCCTGGAGAAAGCCTGAGAAGATAGACTGAGCAGGGCAGCACATCAGAGGAAACCTTCCTCATGGCCATGTGGGAGGTGTTAGGTTGAGAGGCGCAGCTACTGGCAATGCCTTGTCTTCATTCTCTGTTGGTTCTCCACCAACCAAAGGATAGCACTCCAAGATGGGCCCATCTTCCCTTCTCTTCCTGTTCTACTGGCTCTGGTTCTCCATCAGTCCTAGGTACCTCAGAAGGCACATCATCTGGGTCTCCATATCTGGCTTGTACTTGAAGACCTTTGCCTATCTTCCCCCCTGGGCAAGGGTCAGCCTGTCAGCACAGTGCACTCCTGCACTCAGGTGGATTTCAGGGAAAGCCTTGGGTTGGACTGTAGAGCCTCTCCACTTCTAATCTTTGGAGTAGTCACTTCTGGGACCTCACTGCTTCCTCACCTGACTGGTGTCACCCCTTGGGTGCAGCCTGGTCTAGGAGGTAGTAGCTTAGAACCTGGTGCTGTGTGTTGTAGCTAAGGTGCCCCTTACCATTTAAGAAAGGCAGTGTGGTACAGAAGGGAAAGTTTCTGACTGGGAATCCAACAGGCCTGCATTTAGACCTTTCTGTACTTACTGAAGAGCTTTGGATGAACCAATCTTGCACTGAGCCTCAGGTTTTCACCTGATGATAAGGTAGTTGGGAGGATTAAATGGGATAAGCATGTGAAAGTGTCTGATATGAAAAAAAAATGTATATATATATATTAGGCTCCTAATAAACATTGGTTGACTATGGGTTGAAATATGAAGTATGCACATAACTTTTGCTCATGTATGAGGAGCACTGTTATCTGTCCTGAGCTCATAGGTCCTGTGTCCCGCCTGGCCATCTGTCCTTCCTGCCTCACTGTCCTGCAGGGCCTTTGGTTTCTGCATGTCCCAGGGTGCCCAAGGCTGTGAACATCTGCTTCTGCTCTTTAACTGGATGGAGTTCTATGGGAGAATATCTTGAGTCAGTGAGAGCCTTGGGATACAAACTCATTTATCAGTACAACACAGGAAAATACTGGCTGCAAGGGCACTTTCCTAGTTCTGTGTTGTATAGAATAGACTATCTGCTTTCATGGAGCTGACTTTCTGGGGCACAGTCAAGGAACAAATACAAATAATTGAGAGGAAGGGAAGTTCTTTAGAACTGGGTGGGTGTGAGAGGTTGAGCTAGAACCAGGTTGAGAAGCCATCAGGGTTTGTGGCTTAAAGACCTTGTGGCTCAAACCCAGAGATAGAGGAGAAATAGGATGCTCCACATTGCTGAAAAGAACCTTGACATTCCAGGGAGAGCCAGTCTCACACACGCCCGCACCCCCCACCCCCATCCTGACCCAAAGCAGCTTTACCGCAGGCATGCTAGGCTGTGGGCGTGGCCTGCAGAGGGACCGCCTTGGGGGCGGGGCGGCACCTGGGCCCGGCAAGGGGCGGGGCCGTTGACTCTCCCCCTTCCCCCGGCTGCAGCCGGCTCTGGCAGCGGGCGGTGGTTGCAGCAGGCGATCCACTGCCCCGCGAGGCCATGAAGGTGAAGAAGGGCGGCGGCGGGGCCGGGCCGGGGGCGGAGCCCTCCCCAGGGGCCTCGGGCCGGAGCATGGAACCCACGCGGGAGCTCCGGGCGGAATCCGAATCTGGGTCCGAGTCGGAGCCCGAGCCAGGCCCGGGGCCCAGGCCGGGGCCGCTGCATGGCAAGCAACCCATCGGGCCGGACGACGTGCTGGGACTGCAGCGGATCACGGGCGGTGAGCACCGGCGAGGGAGCGCCACCCGCGGGCTGGAGGGAGAGCACCGGAGGGGGCCCACGAGGCGTGGAGCCCGGGCTCCCGCCCCCTCCCCTCCGCACCCAGTGCCCCTCGTCCGTGTCCCCTCCATGCTCCCTCTGCCTCCAAGCCTGCGATATCTGTTTTCCTTCCTTGGTCCCTCGATGCGCCCCTCTCCTTTTAGGGGCTTATTTCCAGCCCTCTCCTTCCTTTTCGAGGGACCCACCCCTTTTCCCATGGTGGAGGTGGGGCGGCAGCTGCATCTGTGGAATCTTGAGAACCCTTTGAAGCCGGTCACCCCAGGGCGCCTGAGTGGAGTCTGTGTTCAGCGCCCACTCACAGGCTAGGTGGAAGCAACCGAAGACCCTCAAGTCTCCTTGACCATTATTACCTTCACCCTGGTTCCCTGAGGAGGGCTGGGGCCATCCCAAGGCACATTATTGGGCAGGGTGCTGCGGGCCCTGTCTTGGAAGTGAGTGCCCCCAAGTCTGGACTGGCACCTGTTCTTTTTCCAGGGCTCTCTCATCAAGGGAATCCTTTTCTCCACTGCTAGTTGAGTTTCTGAGCCCTGCTGCCGGGGGTTACAGTCCCAGCTTTGCCCCATAATTGGTTGTGTGACCTTGGGTATGTAATTTCATCTCTGAGCCTGTTTTTTTCATCTGTAAAATGGGGATAACAATACATCCCTCATAAGGTTATTGTGAAAATAAAGTGAGTTCTGATTTTGGACAGTGCCTGGCATGCTGTGCATGCTATGCCAACAGGGCTCTTATCAGCAGTTAGAGGCCTGAGGGGGCTGCTTAAAGTGGCTGCCTGCAGACAGGTAACTGGGCATTCAGGGCAGAAGCAGGTGTCGACACAGTGAAGGAGGATTAGAGATCATCTAGGCTGAAGGTTGGCTGAGCCTTGAGGAAGGAATGGGAGATATTTGGAGAGACATGGCCCTCCACCTTGGAAGGGGTGGTTCACCATATCCTACCCTGGCTCCCCTTGTGAGAGTAATTCTGTGCTCCTCCATATGGGATGGACACAGGTGCTGGAGTGGACCTAACCCCTGGAGCTGCTGGAGCAGCAGAGTGTAGGGCTCCCAGACAGCTGTGGAAAGGACCAGGATGGCAGGCCTGAGCCTGTCTCTTGGGTCCCTGGGGGCCTCCCTCCTCATCTGGAGCTAGGCAACAGCCCTGTTGGCTGGACCTCCAGAGTGCTTTGCTTCCTTGCCTAAGCAGGCATCAGTGGAGGGGAGGGGCCTGGACCAGGCAGAGGTTGATGCCTGTGGACTGCGTTTTGTAACAGTAGCACTTAATGATTCTGTTTAGCTCTAGGGGTGAAGGGCAGGCCCACCTGTCTGGGTTTTGGGTAACTGGGGGCTTATTTTGCAACTAAGGAGGCTTCCAGGTGAAGTCATAACACCTGTCTCCTTATCTGGAGGAAATTGATGGCCTTTAGAACTCAGGTCTGTAGAGAATGAATAAAGGGCTTTATGAGAGCCTTTTTCCTATGCAGGAGTTGAAAACAGTCCCAGGACTTTCTACTCTGGCATCCCTTGCCTGCTATCTTCTGACCCTAATCACATGGATCTAAGGTCTGCTGTTCCTGGATTACCAGGCCCTGAATCCAGTTTAGGAAGCTATTTGTGGCTGCAGGGAAGGGAGCTGTTGGGTTCTGAGCCCTCAGCCTCTCTGCACCTTACTCTGGCCTGACCTTGGACCCTAGGCCTCATTTTTCCCTGGCAGAAGGGAGTGGCTTTAGCGTTATAAGCCCTGTGCAGGTCCTGACCTCCATTTCCTTTAAGGACAGAGAGTCTAACAGGTTGAGTTTGCAGTACAAGAGACTAGGTTCAGATTATACGAAGTTCACAGTGAGAGGAAAGGCTCCCGAAGTTGGGCCTAGGGGAAGAAGGGAGGCTTTTACCAGGAGTTGGGCAACTAGGATCCTGCTTCTAGCTCTGCCCCCTTCCCCTCCTTATGCCTCAAACTTGGGGAGGAAAAAGGCTTAGGGAAGAGAGCATGACTGTATATTCATTTCCTCTTCCAACCACAGAGGAATAGGAGGTAGCCTAGGGGCCTGGAGGGTGACTTCCGGACTTCTGTGGGTCAGTGAGGAGGATGTGGTACTGTACAGGCTGAACGCACTGAAGCCTCCACAGCGCTTCTCTGCTCCTTCCTATTTCTTGCCAGGGCCTCCTCTAGCACTGTAGTTGCTGTTGTAAGACAGGGAGAGTAGGAGTTCAAGGCCAGCATCTGCTACACAGTGAGTATGAGGTTGGCCTAGGCTACATGAGAACCTGACTTAAAAACAGCAGCAGAAAGAATAGTGAGGGCCAGACTGTGAGCTCCCCAGCAGTGTGCGCTGTTCCTGCCAGACTCCCCTTACCTCATTCTACCCTCTTGGAGCTACCGCGCTTGCCATAGTCTTGGCTTGGCCTGTGCTTTCTTTCTGAGGGCCAGGGAGTGCTTTATTCCTGAGGGTGGCTCAGAGCCAAGGCTAGAAAGATGACCTCTGAGGATTCTCTCTGCTTGCTAAGACTTCCTCCCGTTGGGAGATCAGCAGAGGACCTGTTCAGGGCCTCCTCTCCCCCAATAGCCTGGACTCTGGGCTTGAGTCAGCAGAGCTCAGCTAAGCTGTTTAAAGGAGCTGGGCTTGCATAAGCTGCTTACAGTGGGGGGAGGGGCTGGGGGAAAGAAGACCAGGGAAGGGGTAAGTTGTCATCCTGCCCCAGTACAACCCATGTCAGGGAAAGTCCCCTCAAGATCAGCCTTGCCTGACACATCTAGATGTCATGCCTAGGTGTGTGGGGAGGGGCATACTCCAGGGAAGGACGGTATCTCCCCAGAGCCAGAGATACATCTCTCCCTTTGAAATGAGGTTCCCCCTCATGCTCGAGTCTCCCACTATACTGGAGGTCTAGTTGGCCAAAGGAGCACAGCCAGCTTGGTAGATCGGAGGATGAAATAAGGGCTCCCAACTACAGGGTGGGAGGGAAGGTAGAGGGAGAGGAGGCCTTGTCCTCTAACCTTCTCAGGCTTCCACCTTCCCCTTCCCTGATCCCAGGAGGCCTCTAGGATGAGGCTTTTCATCCCCTGAAGATTCCCATAGCAGAATTCAGGCCTTTGCATTGTGGAGACTTCCCTTGAACAGGGGTACAATTCCCTCTTTTTGGAGGGCAGTAGCCATAATGATCAAAGAAAGCTGTAGGGTTCCATAGAAATTGAACTGGCAGCAGGAGCTTTGGGGTCCCTTCCTTGTTCAGCTGCCTGTCTTCCGTAGACTACTTGTGCTCCCCCGAGGAGAATATCTACAAGATTGACTTCATCAGGTTCAAGATCCGGGACATGGACTCAGGCACTGTCCTCTTTGAAATCAAAAAGCCACCTGCCTCAGGTGAGTAGGGCTGGGTGGACCATTGACAGGGAGAGATGGCCAAGCACTGTGGAGTGAGCTCTACAGGCTCCTTGGGCTTTAGGAGAGTCAGAGCAGAGTCCATAGGCAAACAGGCCTCTTCTTTTTTCTGTCACTGTTTCTCCAAGTGGACATCTTGGGAGGACAGTCCTGTTCCTTTGGCCCCAGCCAGCCTGCCGTCTGCTGGCTTCCCTGGGAACTGCAGTCCAAAAGGCCTCCCATGATCCTGTAGTTGTGGGAACCTCTAAAATTGATGGCTTATTGACCTAGATCACCCTCTCTTGTTGCCACCATTCAGCCAGAATGTACCAGAATCTTGTGGAGAATTTGGAAAAATTCAGACAGAGGCCCTAGTGGGGGAGGGGTCAGAGGGGGCAAGGGCCCCAGCCTGAAGCCCACTAAGCTCAGCTGGGGTACATTGCAGAACGGTTGCCCATCAACCGGCGGGACCTGGACCCCAATGCAGGGCGCTTTGTCCGCTATCAGTTCACACCTGCCTTCCTACGCCTGAGGCAGGTGGGAGCCACGTAAGTCACTGGGCTAGGGTGAGGACTGGGGCGAGCATGAGGGTGAGTGGGCCCCACCCTTCCTGAGCCTCTTGACTGTGGTCTGCTTGGAGCTGGCTGACTAGCTGGCATCAAGGCTGCTCTTAGCCCTGCTCTATTTCCTACTCAGGGTGGAGTTCACAGTGGGAGATAAGCCTGTCAACAACTTCCGCATGATTGAGAGGCACTACTTCCGCAACCAGCTACTCAAAAGCTTTGACTTCCACTTTGGCTTCTGCATCCCCAGCAGCAAGAACACCTGTGAACACATTTATGACTTCCCGCCTCTCTCTGAGGAGCTGAGTGCGTGTGTGGAGTGTGCAGGGGTCTGTGGGAGTGGGGCCAATCAGGGATGTATAGAGACCAAACTCAGGGCCCAGCAGAGAGGGGTGTGGGAGGGAGTGGATTTGTGGATCTTATCTCCTTTCTCCCATCCTGGGTCACTTTCCTACCTGGCACCACTCCCATGTCACCAGGAGGGAAACCACGAACTCTTTGAAATGCTTCTTCTTTCCCTGTTGTCCAGATCCCCTCCCCCTGCTCCATGTGCTGAAGTCTCTCTAGTAGCCTGCTCCTGACCTTTGCTGTGACTGGCCCTCTCTTGCAGTCAGCGAGATGATCCGTCACCCATATGAGACACAGTCTGACAGCTTCTACTTCGTGGATGACCGGCTGGTGATGCACAATAAAGCAGACTATTCGTACAGTGGGACACCCTGACCCTTCATACTACCCCTATCTAAGAGGCTCTGGCCTGGGCCCTATCTGTGACCGCTCCAATATCATCTCAACTTGGGGATGCACTATTGGTCCTGGACCCTGAGTTGGTCTTGGGAGGAAGGGTGCCCAGTGTCCCTAGGCCAAGCCTCTGAAGCCCATGGGGTCTGGCCTATGGGAAGGGACAGCAGGGAGTGCTCTTTGCTCCCATGTTCAGGAAGGCCTCCTACAAGAAGAGCAGCCAGGACTTCTGGACACCTCACTGGGCCCTCTGGGCCCAAGCTTCAGAATAATGTTCCCTTCTTCAGGCTGTGACTAGGTCAGGTTAGGGATCCATTTCCTGTCCCTTGCCTGCCACCTCCAGGCCGCTTAGAATTGTCAATTCATAGACAAAGATCCACAGTGGGTCTGGGCCTCAGCCCTGACTTCCCATCATGGGCTGAGACACTGCACTAGGTGCCAGAGGGATGGGTCCAGATTGTAGCCTGTGGTAGGACCTGGACCAACTGTATATAGTTTTCAATAAACCTTCTTTTCTGTTCTTGAGTGTTGCCAGCCTGTGTGTATATAAGGAAAGCCAGGGATGGACTGGGGTGGGGTGGAATGCTGGCAGACAGCAATGTACTTATGTTAGTTACATTTCACCACTGGCAAAATACGGGATCAAATCAACTTAGAAGAGGAAAGATTTACTTGGGATCATGGTTTTAGAAGTTTCAGTCCATGGCTACTTGGTCTCATCACTGTGGGCCTCTGCTGAGGCAGCGCATCATGGTGGAGAAGGTATACTGCAGCAGAGCTGCTGACCTGGTGGCCATGAAGAACAGAGAGTAAAAGGAAGATGGTAAGGACAAGATGGACACTTCAAACACTTTCCCTGCTTCCCCCATCCAGGCCCCCCTGATCCATTCACCTCAGTACAGTTAACAGCCAGAGACTAAGCCTTCAACACTAGCCTTTGGAGGAATGCTTTGTATCCAAACCATACCAAACTCCCCACTTCTTAGTGCTCTCTGGCCAGTTAGTCTTCCCGTCCTTGGATTCTCAACCTGACAGCACATTCAGTATCTAATTCAGCATTTAGGACATGGTACAGCTGGAAAGGGTCTTTCCTATGGTGAAGGAGACCCAGGGTCTGGAAGGCTTTGGCATGAGGTGATAACCAGACAGAGCAGAGGCTGGAACAAAGGCTATCTACTCAGAATGGAGAGAGAGACGGTGTCAGGGAGGTGGCTCTGTTTTCCACCCTACTTCTCCTGACCCCCAGAGGCCATTAGGACTGCTGGATTGTGCTTTCATCCCTCATCAAAACAATCTAGGTCTAGAGCCATCTCCTTGCCCTCAGCTGCCTTGGAGTGCCCCTAGCCTGGCCAGTCCTGTGTACAACACTTCCCTTAGTCTCCAGCCCTTCCCCAGGCTCTTCTAATAGAGGAAATTTAGGAACTGAGGGAGGAGGGGATTCAGTTCAGGGTTTATATGTGCCTTTGCAGGCCCACCTCACATACCTAATGCCAGCCCACCCTCCAGGCTGAGGAGCTCTGGCCCTAGAAGGCCCAGAATTCTGGGATTATTCTATGGGTCTCTGGCTGAGAGCCATGATCTGTGCTGAACTCTGGGACTTCTGTGTGTGTATATATATTCATGTGCATGTGTGTGTATGGGTGTGTATGGAGACAGGTGCATGTGCATGTAGAGGAGACATGCAAGGGGACAGAGAGGAATTGGGGTAAGGGATGAAGGGAACCTGAAATCAGGTCAGTATCCACAGAACTAGGGAGAAAGAGATAAAATTGAGATTTTTGTTTGATGGTTTTGGGACAGTCTTATTATGTAGCACAAGCTGGTCTCAAATGTACAATGATTCTCCTGCCGCTGCCTCCCAAGGGCTGGAATTACAGGCATGACCACCTGACCTGATTCAGATTTCTGTGTGTACGCACATGTGCAAGCATGTATGCATATATATATGTGTGTGTGTGTGTGGGCACATATGTGCACGTGCACGTGGAGGCCAGAGGTCAATCTTGGTTGTCATTCCTCAAGAGAAATGCATCTTGTTTATTGAGATAGGGACTCTCACTAGGATCTGAGGCTCACAGATTAGGCTGGACTGACTGGACAGCAAGCTCCAGGAATCTGCTTATCTCTACCTCCCCAATGTTGTTGGGATTACAAGCTTGTGCCATTACATCTGGCTTTTAAAAAAGTGTATTTGTATATATATGTATTTGTGTGTGACTATGTATACATGTGTCTGGGTGCCCACAGAGGTCAGAAAGGGGTACTGGATCTCCTATCTCCTGGAACTGGAGTTACAGGTGGTTGTGAACCACCCAGTGTGGAAGCTAGGAACCAAACTCAGGTCCTTTGCAAGAGCAGAATGCACTCTTAACCACTCAACCTTCGCTCTAGCTCTGTGCTTGGCTTTTTACATGGGTGCTAAAGATCAAACTCAGATCCAGGCGTGGTGGCACACACCTTTAGTCCCAGCACTTGGGAGGCAGAGGCAGGCGAATCTCTGTGAGTTCAAGACCAGCCTGGTCTACATAGTGAGTTCCAGGCCAGCTGGGACTACAAGGAGACCCTGTTTCAAAAAAACCAAAAAAAAAAAAAAAAAAAAAAAATCAAACTCGGATCTATTTCCTTCAGTGGCACTTTTATTGTAATTTAATGTGTATGAGTGTTTTGCCTGCATGTACGTAAGTGCACCCATGTTGTGCGATGCTGGTGGGGACTAGAAGAGGGTGTTGGAATTCCTGGAACTAGAGTGCTGGGAACCTAACCTGGGTACTTTGCAAGAGCAGTCAGTGCTATTAACTGCTGAGTCATCCTTCTAGCCCTGCAAACACTTTTCTGACTGAGCTCTCTCTCCAACTCTCTTGCTGAGAATTTTTTTTTGCATGCATATGGTGCATATATGTGTGGTGTGCATATGTGTGTGGGCAGGTGTGTGTATATGTGTGTACATGTATGTGGGGGCCAGAGGTTGACATTGGATGCTTTCCTCAATTGCGCTCCAATTAAAAAAATGTTTTATTGATTATTTTTATTTTTTATGTATGTTTTGCCTGCATGTAAGTACACCTCATGCATGCATTGCCCTACATAGGCCAGAAGAGGGTGTTGGATTCTCCTGGAACTGGAGTTATGGATGGTTACTGGAGTTACCATGTGGGTGCTGGGAATCGAACCTGGGTCCTCTGAAAGAACAACAAGTGTTCTTAACTTCTGAGCTGTCTCTCCAGCCCCTGCTCTCCAATTTTAAATAAATAAATAAATAATAATTTTTATCTATTTTTAATATACTATTTTTATTTTATATGTATGAGTGTTTTTCCTACATGTATGTAAGTGCACCACATTTATGCATTTCCCACAGAGGCCAGAAGATGGTGTTGGATCCTCTGAAACTGGAGTTACAGCTGATTGTTAGCTGCTATTTGGGTGCTGGGAACCGAACCCAGGTCCTCTGCAAGAGGACCAGTCCTGCTCTCCACTTTATTTACTGAAACAAGGTCTCTGGTTGAACATGGAGTTCACTGATTCAGCTAGTCTGGCCAGCCAGCTTGCCCTGGGGATCCTGCCTCCACCTCCCAAGCACTGGGAGGGAGATCTCTACACCTGTCTAGCTTTGGTGCTGGGGATACAAACTTTGAGTTGGTACTGTAAGTGCTTTATTCACTGAGCCATCTCCATGGCTTTCCTGAGTGAGATTTTTTTTTTTAAAGAAGTGAATCCTTAGGATTGGAGAGATGGCTCAGTGGTTAAGAGCACTGGCTCTTCTTGTAGAAGACTTGGTTGGAATCCCAGCACCCAAATGGTGGCTAATAACCATCCGTAACTCCAATTCCGGGGGATCCAACGCCCTCTTTTGTCTTCCTCAGGCACTGCACTCCACAAGTGCACTTACACACATGCAGGCATAACACTCATATACGTAAAATAAAAATAAAGAAAAAAAAAAGAGGTGAATCCTTGAAATAGGTGGCAGATTGGATGAGGGACCATAGAATAGGAGACAATAAGACTAATGCCTGGCTGTGGCTTGAGTATTAGATGGATGGGTGCCAGATTGGGTAAGGGTGGAGGATTTCAGGATGTCAGGAGCTCAGGGACATGCTCTGGGATGGTACAGAAGTCCTGGAAACAATGACCAAGAGATAGAAAGTTCCAGTCCTGGGACCATGAAGGGAATGCAGGCTGGAGGTAGTGATTGTTAGAGGCCATGAATCACTAGAGTGATTGACAAAACTGTATGGTTGCTGAGATTATAGGGTCCTCAACTGGCAATGAGGGTATTAAGTGAGCAAGGTGGGGAGTACCAAATGAAGCCAATTGTCCCCCACCTCTTAACTGAGGTCCCCAAATGAGAATGTGATCCTACAGAAGACCAGTATTTGATTTTTTTTATGTGTATGAGTGTATTGCCTGTATGCATTGTAAGTGCACCCATGTCATGCAGTGCCCACAGAGGTCAGAAGAGGGTGTCAGATCCCCTGGAACTAGAGTTACAGACAGTTGTTAGCCCCTGTGTGGGTGCTGGGAACTGAACACTGGTCCTCTGCAAGAACAGCCAGTGCTCTTAACCATTGAGCCATCTCTCCAGCCCGAAGGTTGGTATTTGAGAGCAGGGAAGGGAAGGAATCTACCATAGATAGAGGAGACTGTTTTGAGTTGAACCCAAAGTCTTGGGTATGATAAGCAAAAAAAAAAGGTTCCACCACTGAGCTAGGGGCTTGGAGAGATGGCTCAGTGGTTAAGAGCATTGGCTACTCTTGCAGAAGACCCGGGTTTGGTTCTCAGCACCCACATAGTGGTTAACGACCATCTCTAACTCCAGTTCCAGGGGAATCCAATGTCTTCTTCTGGCCTCTGTGGGCATTTCATGCACATAATACACTTATATACATGCAGGCAAAACACTCGTATATATATAAAAGTAAAAATAAATAAAAATCCAGCACTTAAGCATGGCCAGGTTTGGTGGCATGCCTTTAATCTCAGCACTTGGGAGGCAGAGGCAGGTGGATCTCTGTTGAGATTGAGGCCAGCCTGGTCTATATAACAAGTTTCAGACCAGCTAGGGCTACAGGGAGACCCTGTCTCAAGAAGAAGAAAAAAAAAGTCCAGAGTTTAGTGGCCACAAAGGTGAGGAAGGCATGTGGACAAGAACCAGTTGGAACTGATTGAGGGGCGGATTTCTGTCCTGGTAGGTGTGGAGTTGTTGTGATGGTTGTTGTAGTTTGAAGGGTGACAAGTCTTCTTAGAAGCCGTAGCAAAGTGGGACCTCTGCTTGGGTCAGAAGGAAGACCTTCTACCAGCCTGATGGTGAAGGGTCCTCCCAGGCAACTGCAAGTAGAGGCTGACTGAGTTTCCAAAGTCAGCTGTAGGTCCACCTTCACTGTACTTCTGAGGTCAGACCACAAGGGGGCGCCTCATCCCTGGAGCTGGTTACCAGGTTGGCACTCACCCTCCCTTGGGCCTGGAGGAGGTTGGGCTGGAAAGTCTTCTTTCCTTGGAGTTTTCATGCCTCTGACACTGGTCGT